TCCCTGCCAGGGGGGCAGCGGGGGGCTCTTGCAGCCCCACAGCCCTGGGACACAGAGCTGGGCTGGCTGCAGCCTCCGCACAGCTCGGCGCTTGAGTTTGACTGCCCTGCTTTTATTAAAGTAGTCATTTCGTTACAGGTGCACGGCTCATATTCTCCGTGCTTATCAACATCTTACACATCTCTGGCATCTCCACCTGATCTCTGACCACAGCTCCAACAATGCCCCCAGGATATTAATGTTTGGACAGCCACCCTTAATTCCCAAGGCCTGTTGCGCTTTTCGTACTGAGCCAGCCAAGAGAAGTTTAGATGATAAACAACATTAATGGGCTCTTGGTGTTTTTTTTTCCTTCAGATTGACTCTTTCATTACAACTCTCGTCTGAATCTAGAGGAGGGGGGGTTCTGCTTCTAGAGGGGGTTCTGCTTCTTGAGGGCAGGTTGTTCGCCAAACCTTTAAAAGAAGAACCTTTACAAGAAATTGGTGGCCTTTAAAATAAATCAAGCAGATGCTGAGAAGTTTGCTACCAAGCAAAGGGACCGCTGAGCGGCATCCTGCTCCCCGTGCTGTAGCGGGCTGCAGCGGGGCTCTCCCAGCACCCCGATGGTATTTCTTGACAAACTAATTTCTTTCCCAGAGGAGAAGGGGATGTGCTTGTCCCATCCAGCGCAGGTACCTGCGCTCTGCTCAGCCCAGAACCTTCCCTGTCCCTGGAGCCGCTCCCTCCGTCCTCAGCTCGGAGCGCCGAAAGCGCGCAGAGGGCGCGGGAGCCCTGTCACCCCGGGGCTGCTCTGGGTGGGCGCTTTGGGAAACAGTTGTACGCTCTGCGTGTGACTCTTTCTTCTCTCCTTCTCCCCAAGCTGATGACCAAGCACCCCGCCAAGCGCCTGGGATGCGGCCCGGAGGGGGAGCGGGACATCAAGGAGCACGCCTTCTTCCGCTACATCGACTGGGACAAGCTGGAGCGCAAGGAGATCCAGCCTCCCTTCAAGCCAAAGGCTGTAAGTGTGGCCGCGCCGCGCGCGTCCCTCCCCTCCGGCTCGTGCCCGCGGGTCGTGCCCGCAGCTCCTCGGTCTGCTCTGGAGGTCGCGGCTCCTCAGCTTTGGGGAAGGAGAACTCTGGGACGCCCGGTCTCGCTCTGGCTTGCAGGGGGAGAAGGACCGCACATGTGGCTCACGGGTTTAACGACATCGCGCTGCTCTCTGCTCGTCACCCCAGGGATCGGTCTTTCTGCTGGTCTTTTTCCTCTCTTCCTTTTAGGCTGAACAGGTCTCTCTCTCTCTCTCCTTTTCCCCTTAACCTCAGCTTTACTTCGACATCTAGCTCAGCACCGCAGTCTGTCTGAATTGGCAGCGGAGCTGTGTCTCACCCGACGGTTTCTCTCCAAGGTGAAGCGGCGGAAGGCTGGAGCCTGGTGCAGAACCCGGCTGCTCTGCCCTCTCCGCCCGCTGGAGACAGGGTTTTGCTGTTTCTCTTTGCTGTTGGTGGGACCAGCAGGGTCACAGCTATGGGCGAGCCTCTCCGCGGAGCCGCATGGGCTTGTTCCTGTTTCTCCACCTCTCGCGTGCCCGTTCGCTGCTCTGCCCTCATTGGGGCTAGTGTTTTCCATGAATTCAAAGTTAAATCTGATTTACAGATCCCCAGTTGGCACTGTTCACCTCAGTTTACAGCGTGGCGTTACTGTTTGGTGTTTCACAGTTAAAAACAACCGAATTCTGTTGAAAGTGCTTTCTTACCATTTCAAAACATGCGATTTTTTGCCCTACCTTAAACATCTCATTTCGTCGACAATCCCTTTTACGCTGGACCTCAGAGGGGGACAGTGAGCTGCCGTCTGTCGCGCCTCGCCTCACAGCTGGCGTTGGGGAAAATTCACCGTTTGATAGGATGGGAAGATTAATAGAAAGGTGGGCGCAGTAGATTTAGGATTTAGGCAGGATTAAGACAACTCGGTACCTGCTGATAGCTGATATTTCAGCAGCGGTGCGTCTGGGCGGGGAAGCGCTGCTCCCTTCGTGCCAGCTGCGAGCGCAGATCAGAGCAGCACGGAAATGAAAATCCAGGTCTGGGCACCTTCACGATGTTCTGGTGGGGAAAGACGTCGCTTCTGCCCTTCAGCTGCGCTCCAGGGGCTCGGCTGGCTGGCTCGTTACCTTGGCTTCAGTCCATTTTTTTTTTTTTTGTCTTTTTTTTTTTTTAAATTAGCTTCTGTAAAGATAAGGTTACAGAGACTGTGCAAGCTGAGGTTTCAAAATTCAGGATAGGCAGATGAGATGCCCGCAGCATGTAGTGCCCGAGCGCTCCTGCCCCCCAGAGCCGGCTCCAAATTGCCTCCAGCGTCCCGCAGCGAGCTCCGCTGCTTGGGAGGTGTCATTCATTCACGTTTGCTCTTTCGGCCTGGCTTGGGGGATACATACCCGCACCGAGAAAATTGAAAAAAAAAGAGACTTGGTGTGCTGCTTCCCGCTTTGTGCTTGATTAACCTTTATCACCGCCACGGTAACGAGACAGGTCGGGGGCTGCCTTGTCTGTGTGTGCAGGGACTCGGCGGGGACAGGGGCCTCTGCTTGGCTGCAACGACGTTTGGCTCGTGCATAACAATTCCTTCCGTGGGTCTGCATTTAGTGTGTTTACACTTGCCTGCTTTCTCTGTCTCTCGTCGAGATAATTATTGTTTTTGGTATCTAATTACTCCTTTACTTTACATGAAGCCTAGTGATTTGAAAAGTCTCCTCATTTTGAAAGTGTCAAAATCACACGGTGGAGCACAGGATTACTCACAACAGGACAGGGCTTTTTTAAAAAAAAATTGCTTTTAATCTAATAATTTTTAATTGCATAAATTAATTTCTCTCTAACTGCTTTGAATTAATTAATATTGAAATGCCGTTTATAGACCTGGATGCGTAAAAACCCCAGTTCTCCTGCAAGCGCATTTTTGTAGCCGTAGTTGCAGTCTGTGAGGTGAGTTCAGGTGTTTGCTGCAGTGATTTCCTAATTAGATGAGATCTAAGGATCGAGGGGTCCGACAGCGGGCAGGCGCACGCCGTGGGGAGGCGGCCGAACGCGTTGAGGTTAAACATCTCTTGTAATCGTGTCAAGGTTTGCTCTGGTAGCCTCAGGGTCCCGTAAAGACTTTCTCTGAGATCACCCTCTCATTATTCAGCCAATAATGTTTTTGGTATCTTGGGCAGCAGCTTGGGTTTGTTCCGGAGGAGAGAGGGGAAATCCACCCAGAGCAGCCCCAGGAAGGTCGGGCTTGCCCCAAGAGATGCCGGTGGGATCGTGGCTGTATCACTGGTTTGGGCCAAAAAAATGGGAAACTGGGAGCATGTTCCGCCCGGCACAGCCCAACAGCCATCCTGGGCTTTTTGGAGTCTTTGATTGCATCTCGGGGATCAATGGAAAAGATTTTATTAGGCTTTTTTTTTTTTTTCCTATTCTCGATTTGAAATCAGGCTGGAAACCGATAAAATAAAAAGACCATCTTCTAAGCTGACAGTTTTATTTCTGCAGCTCAGAAAAAAAAAAAAGTCGTTCCGTGCTGGCTATAAATATTAGACAGGACACGTTGGGGATTTATGTAAGATAAATTCCCACCCTCCCCCTTTCTCCATTCAGGAGGGAGTGATGCCTGTACATTAATATAGTACTAAAATGAAGCAGATTTTTCACAACGTGCCTTTAGATAAATGTAAAAATTCGTACAGCTCATCTCCCATCCTTTAACGAGGAACTGGATTTCGGAAGCTTTAAAGGCGGTGCTCCTGCGGCGAGCCACCGTCTGCCGTCCGGAATCCTTCTGGCTCCTATAAACCCAATTTCCAACCTTAAAGTATATATTTTATCCATGTGAAAGCTCCCAAAGAGGAGGATATGCTAATTGGTTTGCTGACCGGGACAAATTCTTACGCATCCAGACAGAAAGCCTGTGAACTTCACAAAGCTGGGCATGGAATGCGATGGAGAGACGCAACTTTTAAAATTTTCCGTCCACGTAGTCCTGCCTTTTTGCATTACGATGAGAGTTACTCTTTGCCAATACACATATTAAAAGTATATTTGTATCCCAACAACTGGAAATGTTTCACAAGGGTTAGGTTGTAAGTCTTTGGTGGGGTTGCTCTTGTTTGATTTTGTTTTTTAAGAGGGAACATTTCTCGGTAGCAGGAAGAAGGCAAGTGCCGTCAGCCGTGGCACATGAGCTGCTTTGCATGTCTGCACCAAGAGCTCGTGAAGCTAATGGGCAACGACAGCTGCATTTTCCAAGTGCTGTGAGGCTTTCGTGGTGTATTGGGAGTCGATAGAACCTGCAGGTGAGAGGGTTATGAGCCGGCAAACCCTGCTCAGCTCGGTGTTGCGGCACCGATAACCCGAACCCCTGCAGGCTGTCCCGGAGAGCTTGCTGAGGGGGAAGACTAGTGGGAGGGTGGCCTCGAAAAGCCCCCGTCTCTTTGTTTCGTGACTTTAGCTTTGTGGCAACTTCAATTCCGGGAATTTACTTTCTGGTTTGCTGCTTAGGTGGTGGCTTTCAGGAAGGCATTTGGCTGTTGCTGTCTTCTCAAACGTCTAAAACCGACTTTTTTTTTGCAAGATTCTGAAGCTGTGCTTGGTGGCGCGGTGTGGAGCGGCAGCCGCCTCTTCCCAAGCAGACTGCAGCTGTGACAGCTCTTGCTGGAATTCCTCGCAGTGGGAATTGTCAGCTCCTCAGGAGAGAGCCTCGCTGTTTGCTTCTGCATGGCGATGAACCTCGCCGCTGAGCGGGAGAGGGACGTCCGCCAGGCTGTGAGCCCTCTGGGGATGCCCTGTCTGGGCATGACAAAGCTTCTCGGGGTCATTTTTGGGCAGCCCTCATCTTTGGTACCCTCCTGGTGAACGGCTCTGCACTGTGTTTGCATGTTTGATTTGGGGAGATTTTGTTTTGGGGTTGGGGTTTTTTTTAATTTTTCTTTTCCTCCCATGAGCAGCACCATCTCATTTTTACACTGAAATACTTTTAAAAGAGCAAACCTTGTAACCCAGCACACCAAGAGCACGATCTGCTCAGCTGTGGGCTCAGCCCTGGGGACCAGAGCAGCCCAGGGCAGGTGCAGGCAGGGAAAAGTGCCTCCAAAGTCTCCTG